CAAAAGGGCTTAGAAAAACCTTCTTTTTTTTTAAAAAAAAAAAAAAAAAAAAGAAAATGCAGTGTTACAGAGTTCCTGTTTGGAATATATATATATGCTCTGCTTAGCCTGACTGAAGAAGTGTAAAGTGCTATTGAGTGTCTAGCTAGCATAGGAGCAGTTGCTGTGCTATCCAGACTGACCTAGAGGACAGAGGGAATAGGTCAATTTCAGCTATGACAGTAACTTCTCAAATAAAGAGAAACAGCACTCTGATGATAGCCGCCTCTGCCTATATTAATTTTAAGTGAAGGAAAATTTCATAGATTTGCAGGGTTTCTCTGGAGAACAGCTCAAAAGAATTGCTGTCGAGCATTCTTACATGTGCAAAGAGAATCTTTCACAAAACTCCAGTGCATGTGAGTATATATATATATATATGTCTGCATTTTCTTCTCATCTAATACAGTTGGTGCTAATAATCTGGCAAAATGAGATTTTTTTTTTTCACCACTGTTTCCTTTCTTGGCAATTATTGCTAGCCATTTTCTTCTCAGAGAATAAACTTAATCACTGGAAGACTGGCAGTGGTATGCTTCTGTTGGGGAAGTGATGGGGCAGCTGAATATCTGCTTAGCTCTACGCTACCCCCTTGTAACCCAGAGCCAGTTCTTTTACCTTGCATGCCGTAGTTTCTCTCTTTGTTGGAGAGAGAATACTTCGCAACCTGCCAGGGATGTAGTGGTATTTTAGTAACTGCTGCTTCTGTCGCCTTTGATACTCCCACATGAAAAGTACTACAGCATGAAAACTGCCAGTCTTCATCAAAAATTATCACTTTTTCTTCTGAGAAAGGTACCACTTGTTTGATTCTGTTATATCTTCATCTTCCTTTAAAATCAATGAGAACAGGGGGAATTGCTCCTTTTGGGTGTTCAGGGCCTCCTAGGCTTAGACCCTATGTGAATACGAGGAGGGTATATTTAGATTACCCTGAATATACTTACAATTTTTTACAGCTTACTCTTTCCATTCCAGTTTTCCTTATATCATGCTGGCAGACAATATTTTCCCTCAGGGCCTGTCTACATTGTGTGCCTGATTGGCATTGGTCACTTTTAACACTCGCTGGGGTCTGTTACACCATTACCTAGCCTAGAGGTGGACTGTTCAACTCTTACTATCTGGCATTTAAAAGACGTGACTAAAGAATTGACATATGGTCTACATATGTTTGGAAAGAAATGCGTCATTGGTGGTTTAATACAGGGACAAAATCTGTAAACCAAACCGTGTTAACTGAAGGCTACTTTTGTGTAGTTGCAGGGACTGAAGCAATTTGTATGCCAGATTTGCCAGCTTTTCAGCTGGAAACTTTTGTGAGATTGAATCTTCCCCCAAAAGTGACTACAGGCTGCATCAGTGGAAACCTGTCAGCACCCTCCTTCTGTGCCCAACTCAACAGAAGGGTAGTTTAGACTGTTGGAACCTGGATTGAGCTTCACCTCTCCTCTCTTCAGGTTTATAAAGCTGTCAGATATATTCCTTGAAACAGGACTTACCTTCTATCAAAAAGGCAAAGTTACCTTGCTGTTGAAGAAACAGAATTTGAGGAGGAATGACCTTACCAGAGCCATTCATTTTCCGTTGTTTACTGTAAGTCACATCTAACTCTTTAAGGAGACTGTTCATAGCCAAAATGTCACAAACAAGAACCAAATCTTCATTATCTGACCCTGCCAAAATCCCCTTACCAGTGAGAAACAGTCATCAGCACCACCTCTGAAGACCTGAGCATGCTCGGTGCTGACTAGCTATGTGTCAGCATCCCCCCAAGTGTCTAACCCATGACAGATGTGTGCAAACAAAGACTGTTTTGAGTGGTGAATTATTTAATTGTGCTTTTCTTATAAGTCATTTAAAACTATTACTAAGAGCTGTCTCTTTCTTCTCTTCTTTGATCTATTCCATGTGATTACTTATTATCATTTGTGTGGTTATTAAAGTCTTTCCTACGTTGTTTTTTCTTTTTTTTTTTTTTTAACTCTTCTGTGTATTTCAGTTGTAAAGCTTTCCCATACCCCATCAGCCATGGTAAATCAAAAGATGGTATTCAACCCTTCAAAGGCCTGAAGCCTGCGGCCCGCACAGCAAACAGCCCTGAGAACAGAGCGTACAGAGCAGCCTGCAGGGGCTGGCATATCCCACTCACCCCCTCAGCATTCAGTGTCCAAACCAAACAGGGGATAGATACATCGTACAGCAGGCGTGGGTGGGCATGGGCGGCTGGGTGCTTGCTGTAGAAGGTGGGAGGGAAACGAAGAGCAGGGATGAATAATTCTCTAAGAAAGAGGGGCGAGGAAGTTGTTTCAGACCTTTCCCATGTGGGTGCCCGAGGCACTGCAATCTGCATGTTGACAGTACGTCTCACAGTAGTTTGAGTGTTTGTTGTGTGAAGATTAGAAGTTCAAATGTGATACAGATCTCACTTCTGTTGAGAAGGACTCTGAAGAAATGGGTCTAGAGTGGAAGGAGAGAGAGAAATGAAGCAAATCATGGCTTGGAACATACTTGGGAATAATTTCTGATGCTGAGAAGATGTGCAGAAAGGGAAAGAAATGGCTGGTCCGATAGGGAGATAGACCTTCACTTTTTTTCCTCCCATTGATGATTGGGAGGGTTATAGTGTCACTGACTTTTATTAAGTAATATTTCAGATTTTTTTCTTCCTGGCCTGGCTTGTCTTCAGGTCACTGGTGACTAGAATAAATACTGCCTGCCTCTTGTTAATCTGAGTCAGTTCTCTTGTAAGGAAGTGTAATCATCCCTCTTGACTATCTTTTCCTAAGATATCTCCTCAGGGGTGTCAAAGACATCTTTGCCTCTCCAAAATGCAAAGTTTCTTTTGTCATTCCTACATACAAACAGAGTAGGCACATTTTCTATTTTTCTTTTTTAAATGTATGTGAACTTCTATGCCAAATTTCCTTTTGTGCAAATCATACACTCATACCTGTAAGTGTATGCCCATTCACAGTTTCTCATTAATAAATTTCTTTTCTATAATCAGTACACACAAGTGCTTTTGATTTTTTTTTTTTTAATTTTCATAGACATACAAAAATATGTCAGCTGCCAGTTACAGGTAGGTGCATGCAAGTAAGAGAGAGGCAAGGAGACAATCTATAGCATGGGGTAAGAGCGTGCACAGGACCTCATCTGGTTTCCCCATAGGAAATAACCTAGAGTGAGCTTAGAAACAGCCAGGCCCCGATTATCTTTCTTGTCCTAGTCTTGCCTTAAAGTGCTCTTCCATAACCACATGTGGATGCTTATCAAAAGGAACAAACGCTTTGTCCTCACGCAAAAAAGGTGACTTTCTTTCCTGATTCAAGGAAAAAACAGTCTGGGGCCTTAGCATGTCAAATAAATATCACTATTTTCAGGCACAAAGATACAAATGGTAAGAAATACAGGCCTAATTTGCAGAGACTTCTGTCTGCTACTAAAGATTTCTCCATTCAAGCAATGAATCCCTAGTGTCAGCTAATTGCACTGGAGCTACTTAACCTTTTCCAAAGAGAGGGTCTTTGGCCCATTTTCCAGGTGATGTGCTCTGGAAAACCTTCCATCTGAGCACTAAGGAAGCAGCTTCTGGTTTACATTAGGAATAATAATGAAAGAAGGTACTGTAGAAGGTCTTCCCAGCTCATTCTGCTCCCTGTATAGTTACAGACTGTGTTTTCACTTTACCGCTGTCCTCCAGATTCCTCATCCAGTTGCTGAACTGGCAGGTGACTGGATTTACAGCTGTTTAGGCATACTCATCTTCAAAACCTAAAGCAAGGGAAAACCTCTTTTGAGTCAGGAATGCAGTCATACCTAAATAAATCAAATCCCATCAGTAGAAGTTGGTAACAGTACTGAGAGCCCCTGATTACTGAGACAACGATTACCAGAAGTCTTATTGCCCCAGTACTGTGCAGGAGGAATCCCAAGTGGTTTTTTTTAATTATTCCTGAATCCCCCAGCTGCTGCTGTTTTGAGCACAAAGACCAGGCTAAACCTGTACCTTACTGCCAGGGAAAGCATACTTTGCTCTGGATTTGTAGCATTGTACTATTTTAGAGGAAAATAGGTACTTTCTTCCTTTCTAAAACTCATGTAAGAGGGAGAAAACAGCTTCATGTATTAATGATTGGAAATTTTTTTTAGTTGCTTTGGGCAAGGCTCAGAATTAAGGAAATGAAAAAAAAACCACCTGTACTTGTTCTCTGAAGGTAGTGTGGAGAGTATGGTGGTGCTGGTGTAGCAGTGCAGGCAGATGTGCTAGCTTAGCTACCGTGTGGGATCCCCACTGACCCAGCTGGACCAAGTCTTGTTCAGTAACTGGTCCTTCTGGAGTGCGCTTGGGCATTTCTGCCTGGCACCCCATTGCATGGCATTGCAGAGCCTTCGTGCTCGCAGTCTGGAGATCTAGTAGCACCGTGGTAGTTGTCAGGGCAACCCCCTCTGTGGCCTGGTCTCTCGCTGTCCTTTGAAATAGAAATCTAGCAGCCAGGATGAGGACTACATTGGTTTTCAGTTTGAAACGTCAATCCCTTCACCTGGAGCAGTCAGTGACTCAGCCTGGGGGTAAGCCCTGGGACATGTAGTTATTTCGGTATTCCTGCAAAAAAATTAAAACTGCAAAACTTCTCTGCAGCCATCAATAACACAACAATGGTTTTAGTTTCTAACTTTGACGGATGTTGCTGAGGACCAGCCATGTTTCCCTTTCCAGCACACTTACTGTTTAGCCCATAAGATATCTCGTGTTGTTCCAGCTGTAACAACTCTCTTGATCTCACTTGCTTGCAGTGCAACGTGGGAGTCTCTCTCGCTCTTGCTCTCACTCTCCGTCAGGTTATAGAGGGAAGTTCCCCAGCATGTACTTCAGAGCTCCCCTTACCCTACCCAACTCCTGTAAGGGATATAGCCACCACTGTATGGTGATCGTACCAATTGCTCCAGGACTGTTTGCTCCCACTTTTCTGTTGCGGTTGACGACACATGACAAACCTAATCGCACAAAACCAAACCCAGATTTTCTCAAGAGAAGTTCTGCTTGAAAACAGACTCTCTCTGGCTATGGTGCTCCTGATTGGTGTGTCCCTGCTTATTACAGCTCTTTATTTATAGACTCTTATTCTTTCCCCTCTTTCATTTTTTTAAGAACTGCATTTAGTTTCAGCTGCTGAAATAATTTTCCTACATTTGTCTGAGTAAACATAAAATTGGTCCAGTTAAGCAGCAAACTGCATTATATTTCTCTGCCATTCTGTATAATCTCTCTTGCTGGGCCATATCTCTGTAATAAATACGACTGTCCTTGCTGGTCAAAGCTTTAGTTGTCCAGACAGGGTGTCCAGTAGCATGGTGCTATTATTCCTGGCCTTGATTTCCTGAGAGAAGGTCAGCATGGCTCAAGATACATAATAGCACTGATATGATAGCTCTTACCCATGTCAGTCACCACAGTAATGGATATTCACAAGGCTGTAAGTAGGCATTTATAAACGAAGGATCCTCTTATGGGTCGTGTCCTGAGATATGTTGAGCATTAGTTTGTTAAATGAGAGAAGCAATGCTCAGAAGCCCTCCAGCTCAGGCTCCCCTACCTCAACTTGTTTTCTTTGTGCAGACTCCTCAGTTACCATTTATTAGATTCCACAAGCATAGCCCTATTTGTCTTTCCTTGTACCCCTCTTCGTCCCTCCATTGCCTGTAACTTCTGAATGAAGCAGAGCCAGCAAAGATTCCCAGATTGCCACTTCACTGCCCATTTCATCTTCTCCCTGAACGTTACGAGCATCCCATTCAGTCTTAGCGTTCAGACAGCAAGGCGAGATTGGGCTCTGAGGAACTGGCAGGGCTGGGGACCTTTGAAAGAAATCCCCATTCCCCATCAAGCAAAAAAAAAGTATTCCCAACCTCCAGAACTAGCTGAAATCTGGGCTGGGCGTTCGTGCGGTTAGCTGTTTGCAAGTGGCCATTTTATGATAGGACATAAACTAGGCAGTATATTAACCCTTTCCTCACCTGAATGGACAGTGTTAAAGGTGTCTGTGCACATATTAAAAAGTGTTCTGGGCTGGCAATGGGGGAATGAGAAGAGGGTCTGTCTTTGGGAGAGCTGGAAAGGGTTAAATATTGCACCAACAAATCTCATAGGCTGATTTTACAGGTATTCTGTGTTGGACAGATGGTGTATTTATGCAATAACAATACAAATTAATTCAAAAGAAACCAAGTGTAAAAGTTGACTTTGAGCTTCAAGCTTCTCAGAGAAATTGCTAAAGGTCTTTAAAAAGCAAAATGACGCTGGAGTATGACTTGCATTTTGAGGGAGATTTTTTCTGCCTTAATTGTCAATTTTTTTATTGTAATTCACATCAGTTCATGGTCTGGAGTAGAAGATACTCTTAGATGCATAGGTTTCTATAAAAAGAAAACAGCTTTCTGTGTCAACGTGGATATATATGTATATTGGTATATCTCTCTATACATATGTGTATATATATGTGTGTGTATATATATATATTTATGTACCAGATATTTATGTAGAATATACTGTACATATACACCCACTCCTGAACTTGTACAGACTGTATATAAGTATAAAATGGCCACATCTCTTTGCGTGTGTCTGTCCCCGGAAGGGTGGACTGATTGTTTTTGGATGTCTGCAGCTGTTACCTTGAAGGATGCAATTTCATCTTTCATTTATTTTTCCCCATCTAGACTGTATCAGGATAAACTGTAACGCCAGTAAGTTTTCCCTCAAGTTTCATTTTGTTCTCTTTCTATATATATTAAAATAACTTTATTTTATTTGCTGTTTTATAAGCTGTTTTTCTTTTCTTTTCTTTTTTTTTCTTTTCTTTTAAAAAAAAATCATCTGAAATTGAAGGGTTGGGTGGGATATGAAGCTGGGGGGGAGGAGGGAAGACCTCACGGTGATTGTATGTGAAAATTTTGTGTTAGGTTTCTCCAAGGAAGAGATGAACTGTTATTTCATAGCTTTGCAGAAGAGCACCTGAGGAACCTGATGAGCTGATATTATATTTCACAGGTAACCTGTTGTCTTTATGAAAACTTTTAAAGAACCACATAAGAATAACAACAGGTACTGTATGCACTTCTCCACTACAAAAAAGGCATGCGTATTTAAAAAACAAAACAAACCAAACCCACCTCAAACTCTTACTTTATTTCAGAATGGTGACAACTTAACCTGATATTTATTCAAAGTCAGTTTTATTTGGGTACAGAAGAAGGAAAAATTAGATGTTAGCTTTTGAGTATATTGTCAGAGTTACATGATAACCTTTTATATAGCATTTACCACTCTTAGGTTTCTATAATAAATTCTAGCTGAAACTTTAGGTCACAGAAGATCCCTTTCAGTCTGTAAAAGTAGGGAAGAAGGTTTATAAAATCTCTGTGAAAAATAATAATGAAAGATCATATCCAATTCTAGACTGATTGAGCAAACAAAATCTTTTCAGTTCTACTTCAAAGAGCTGGTCAAAGTTGATGTAGGCCTCAAAGTAAAAAGCACTTCACAAAGAATGGAGCTGTTTAGCTCTAAAGTGTGCTTTGAGGCTTATCTTACTTGAAACCAGATTCCTGAACTGGCAGATCCTCTGTGTTAGATTTTATGTGGAAAGATTATGGAAGGCTAAACATCGCTTTGGAAATGCTATAAGAGATTAAAAGGCAAGGATGGTCCATGTATTTTCTTGGGTTTTTTTTGCTCACCAGTGAGCCCTATCCAAGCTAGCAGGAAGGTGGAAAGAAGTGTGTTGCAGCCCCAAAAGCAAACATAGAGCTTTCAAGTAGCAAAGCCAATTGTAGCATCACCAAAGGAATCTTATTGTAAAGCAGTTTCTTAACAGCTTTTCCGTAGTTTTGGACTAAGAGTAGGTTTGTAGTGTTAGACAGCAGACAGCAGTTGTTTGGGTTTTTTCCCCATGTACAATATTTGCAAAATTTAAAAGGTTCTCTGTGGTTGCAAATAGAAAAAAAAAACCACACAAAGCAGATAATAGATCAGCTTTCCCTCCTGGTCACTGCCAGCTGATGAGATTCTACTTTGCAGGGAAGTGGAAGCAATTAGTTTCTTGGTCTTGGGAAGTGGTCCCTGGGAGCCTGTAGCCAGGGACAAGCCAAAGCATTGGCTGATGTGTGATTATTCCAGCCGTGAGCCCTGATATGCTGTAGGAGCTTGATCATGAGTTCACAACATTGAGAACTGCAGCCTTCTTCAGCCCTATTGCAGGGCTGTGTGGGATTAGTCCTGTATGACTCAAAGCTTGACAGCTCTTGTTGAATTCCTTTTGCTCTTCGAAGTTTTAACACTGTATTTCAAGATAGAGTGGGTAATAGGAAAAAGTGTCTTGAATCTCTGCTAACTGAGATTGCCAGTTTTTACCCAGCAGTGCTGAGGACATTTGCATAAAAATAGGATCTTTTGCTTCCTAAGATTTCATACGGTCTTGCTGCTTAGCCACCTGTAACTCGCACCATAGTTCTTGTTGATGCGTGTCATCTGAGTATCCATATCAGCTCCTCTGGCACTGGACAACAATCTGCTGTTGTTGTCATCATCTTCAACTTTTGATGACAGTTGGCTGTTAAAGGCTTAGCTATGGAAGACTATCTTCAGGTGGGAAATCAGCTTTAGTAGCAAGGAGCAATGGTCTGGTTTTCATGCAAATCAAAATCTAGCAGTAATTGGGAGAAACATTCAAAAAAGAAAAAGAGGGAAAAAGAGACTCCTATAATCAGAGCAGTGGGAAGACAGTCTGAATCCAGTGCTTTTGTTAGTTTCCCCATAAGCATCAAAACATCTTGAATCATTTTGCTTCCATGCATTTTTAATAGTTGAGCCTGTTACATTTTTAAATACAGACTTCCTCTGAAGGTTTGCATTTATTTGTTTATTTTAAAACACTTTGGATTTTCCTAATTTATTTTTCATGATACTTTGCTGAAAATGAACAACCCTACTCCTAGCCTCTCCAACACCTTATTTTGTTGCTGCCTGTTGCAATGACTCGGGTCATCTGTCCTACTTTCTAGAAGGGAACCTGCTGGGAACTGATTGATGAAAAACTGTATACTCTTGCATGAATAAAATATGGTTAGGCAGGAGCAGACCAAATATCACTGTAACCATTCTTGCATTTTCTTGTGCAGAGGGAGTTATCCACACACAGATGGGTCTGCCAGGGTCTGTTGAAATGAGCAGAAGTGTTTTAAAGTAACTTGACAAATGGGATTCCCAATCAGTTGAAGAGTTTCAGGTTGAGCAGTCACCATTGCTAACTGAATAGAAGGGACCTAGTGCATGGTTTTAAAGGTAAACAGAGCTGTACTTTTGGGGTCTCTACACTTTTGGAACATGTAGGTTAAAGAGCCTACCACAGCAACCACTGAAGCTCATGCCATTTGAGAAGAGTCTAGTATATTGTCCCAGGTAAGCATTTAATTTTCAATATACTTGCTCTTAATTTTCATTGAAAGGATTAAGGGTTTTTTGCTTGCATATCTTTGGGTCGTCATATATCTGATGCAAAATACTGTTTTCCATCACTTCATTTCTTCTTACCCTCTCTCTGTTTCTCATCACTGTCATATCTCAGTTCTGAAAAGGAAGACTAACATCGTTTCCTAGAATAGGAACATTTTTTAACTTTCTCTGTATTTATTTTAATACTCCTCTCATCCTCTCCTTTCACTCTTGAAGATACCTAAACTGATCTTATCTGTTTCTGCACACTGACAGAGTATGAATTTAGAAGGACCCAACAGTGTTGTTGCTTATACAGATGTAAATGGGTAGTAACTCTCTTTTCCTCTGAGTGTAAAATCAGCATAACCAAAAGCAGGATCAGGATCCCAAAATACACTGTGTGAAGGTGCATTGAATGATTCCTCAACATAATGCAGACATAACAGATAGCACTATTTCATTGGCTGGATTTATGGGAAAATAGGTATAGTCTAAATACCCTTATATTTTTGCATACATATATTTTGGGTTTTTAAATAGGATTTCCTAAAGAAAAGTAGCTCTTTGGTCCATCTCCTGTAAACTGTTTCTTGAAATACATAGTTCACTTTAAAGAAAGTTAAAGTTATTGTGATAGTTTTATAGTTTGTGTCAGAATATCTGGTGCCCTGATTTTTCTTTATTTTTTCAAAGGTATCTAGTCCTTAAATTTCTTACTCACTTTTCAGTGACCCCACTTCATATCAGTCCAGATGGGGATAGTTTTCAGCATTCTACCCAGTATTAAGTGTGGAGGACAGGGCTGTGTGTGCTACAGATTTACTAGCTTTTGGAGGTGTCTTCACTTTGTGTTCTTTCTAGGATACTGCTTATATTATTTTTCTTGGCCTAGGTCTCTCTCCTTCTCCCAAACCTTTTATGTGGCGTGTCAGCAGTCATAGTCACGTAGTTTGATGCTACCTTTATGGGAGGTTTGATCTTCCAAAAGTAGCTGCCTTTGGGACAGTGAATACTTCTGTCTTATTGCCTGTTGTTTCATAATGAGGCCTTTTCTTCTCACTAAAGCATGCCAGACAAGCCGTTACCTATTTTCATGTGACTTGTGAAGCCTCAGCAAATCCTGATCCTCTTCTCTTACCTGTTGCTAAAAGCACAAATGGAAGAGGATGAAAAATCACAGTTCGATCACTACTAGTTGATCCTGTGTCTCTATGAGGCCTCACAGTTAGCATGCTGTTTCAGATCCAATTAATTTTGGACTGGTCTTTGACAATAGAAGACAGCTAGGATATGAGATTGGCTCTCCCTTCTCAGTTGCCATGCTTACTGTATTTAGTGCCTTAATTCAATGCAACATTAATGTTTCGTTTTAGTAAGTGCCACTGTAGAATCCTAGAATCATTACGGTTGGAAGGTTGGACCTCTAAGATCATTGAGGTCAACCGTCAACCCATAACCCGTAACAACATAAAATATGAACCTATGATGTGTAACTCTCTGGGAGAGGTTTAAAGTTTCTTTTTTCCATATCTTCACAAGTAAATAGGAAGCCGTGCTAACTCTAATCTAATCAAAATATTGTAAAACCAAGTGCACTTATCTGATTCCTAGTGATGTTGCTGGCATTTTAATAAAAGCTTAATAGTATTCTAACATGAAAACATTATTTGGAAAGTGAAGAGGTGTGATTAAACATACACATCGTATTTGTGACTCTAGTATCTCCTAACTCCATTTAAACATAATCAGGAAGAAATGAATGCTTATGCAGCCTGAAAAGTGATGAGTCATTAGTATGTCATATAGTAGTGGTGAAAGCAAAGCTGGTGTCTATAGCATCTGCCCAGCCTAGCTGAGAACAGTCTCACCTTTGAGCAGGCTCAGACTCAGGGCGCTGGTCTGGCCTTGTGCTGCTGCTGCACTGCAATGCAGAAGAAGGTAAGGGAGCAAGCCTGTCTTTGGAAGACCTTTCCTTCTGTCAGGTGATGAAACAGCAGTCTTCCCAGGTATTTTGTCAGATGGTAAACTAAGAATTCTGTTAGAGGAAAACATACCATGCTGGATCCAACAGCCCGAGAGGGGTGAGGCTACTGCCACTCCGTGTTCCCAGGTTCAACCAGTAGCGAGGTTGGAGATGTATTCCTGGCAGGCACTTTGCTAGTGACCACACACTTACTTGCAAACCTGTGCTCATTCCAGCTTCTGGCAGCACGGACGTACGGGCCCTCTGACCCATGGTCCGACTCCAGTT